GGCACAGGGTTTTATGATTAATGTCACGGGGCACTTATGAATATGGAAACGGCATGCACATGTGAGAGAGTGCATACATACAAATGTTTGAAAACATTACACATTACGTAGCTTTTTTTCTGACAGCGGGATGGAGCGGTTAAATTTACTCTGTTGCAATAAATCTTGAGTGTTGTTTCTGTATTTACATCCTTGGTTATGGCCAAAAAAGAAAAAAACATAAAAGAAACAAAAAAATCTAAACAGAAAACATACAAAAATACATAACATAGTATTGCACCTTGCAGATGGGCAATATATATTCTCAGTTTTGTTGGTTGTTTTGTAACGTCTATGTGACACCACTATCCTTTTTCTGCTGGTGTGTGGAAGTTAGGTTGTGGGTGCCGGGCTCAGGTCCAGCCCCGTCCTGTCAGCTACATTCAATACCATAAAACACTCAGCCATTACAAAAGTCTTCATCCCTCAGTCTCTGGGCCATTCACATTTTGAGTTTACTGTCTGTAGACTTTAAGTTGGAGAAGCGCTAACATTAGCGGACGATGTCTCAGCCAAACAAATATCTCGTGTTTGACGTCGTTCTCCCAATCTTCCAAGAACCAAATCGATAAGATAGAGAGCCTCAAAGCTTGAGGGAAAAGTCCTTTTGTAACTTTTTACTGATGCGTACACACAAGCACATATTATCTTAACATATACATATTTTTAAATCTATATATGCATCTCTGAACTTTCACATGTGCCTGCAGAATATGACTCCTCCCAAGTTCCTTTGAGTTTTGTGTTGTGTGAGGTATGACAAGATTGTTTCTTTTTTTTTCTCTTTCTTTCTTTCTTTTTTTTTGTATTTTCAGTTTCTGTTGCATTATTTTTCCTGTTTAGCTTTTTTCTTTTTTCTCCAAAGTCATATTTCATAAAAAAGAAAACAAAATATAAAAAAAAGAAATTCCTGTTTTGTTGGTTTTTGTAAATTCCTCCTGATAAAAGGGGACGGACAGCTGAACAGACACACAGACAAACAGATCAGTTGGCTTATCAACACAAACTATAGATGTGAAAAAAAAGAAGTGAAATATTTTCTATGTTACACTGCACGCATGGTCAAAAAGTGACTACAGCTGTATTTTTTTTCCTTTTTTACACAGAGCAGTTTAAGCGTCAAAAAAAACAAACAGAAACAAAAAAAATAAGAAAACAATGATAAAATAAAATGAAAAAATCTCCAATCATTTTGTTTAGGAGTCTTTTTTTAAAAGTCATCTCTTTTCATTTTGTTTCATGGATTTATAATCATTTCATATATCTTTTTTTTTCTTAATCTAAATCAGACTCAGAAGGTAAAGCAGCATTATAACCCCTTCTGTCACACACACATACCCAGTCAGCTCACGGGAACAAAGGACATCAAAGTGTTTTTATTTTCTCTTTTTCAGTTCTTTTTCAAAGACGTATTGGAACTCCAAAACTGCATGTCTGGAATGTGGGATCTCTTTCTGATCCGCACCTTGCGAAAGCTGGAGGTTATCCTTTTTGGGGCGGGGAGCTGAGGGGGGGACATCTGGGGTTGTCAGCTGGCATGGGAGCAGGGGGGGGGGGGGGGTTGTTGTGGGAGCTGAAGAGGAGACCGTACATCCTCCTTATATCGCTGTCTCCCCTTCATCAGAGTGTTTGTAAGCATCGTCTTTACAAACGGCCACGCCACCCTCTCTCAGCCATGTCGATGATGGCGCTCGAGGGTTGGAGGCCCTCTGCTGTGTTTTTTGTATTTTCTTGTCCCATGCTTTCTTCGTCGTCTCGCGTCCTCACATTCTTGCGCACAAGTCTCTCGTTCCCATCGCTGTTGCTGCTGCTTTGCCGTTCACATTCATCCGGTGGCGCCGCTCTAAAGGAGCAAATATGGCCAGCCTTGTCTCACAAGGGAGAGGCCTGGATCCCGTTTGATGTCAATGATTTGGGGCCAAAATGGGGACAACCCACTCAAGGGTAATTAGGTATGATAGCTAGGGTGCTTAGGGAAGAGGAGAGGGGATAATGATGTTTTGGGGGGAGGGGCTCTGAATTTGAAATGTCACTCTGCTATAGGAAGGATGATGGGAAAATGGGTACTAAAGGGAGGATTTAATAAGTGCTTCACAGCCCTCCTTCCATTCCTCGCAGGGGTCTCTGCACCCCTGGTTGGGTTGGTTGAGGGTCAACTGCTGTAGGTCTAATACTGACAACGTGGGGACAGGTTGGGGACTGGGCCCACTGGGACTGCTGGCCTCTGTTCCACAGAGCAGCCACGGCTACAATTCTGTTCTGTTTTACACAGAGCAGAAGGGGGACTGACTAACAATCCAACAAGGGTTGGGGGTTAAACTTTGATTAGTTGCAGTAGTGCAAAAGCTCCCTCCAGCCTAGCTGGGTGGGGGGCCTTTAAAATGGGGTTGGGGTGCAATTTAGTCAGAGCTAGGCTCAGAGAAGGGCATTGTTATGGTTTAGAGTACGGTAGGGCAGGTGGTGGATCTCTGAAGGGGGGGGGCGATGACGCTCATGAAGGGGATTCTTCTTGGAATCACACCGGACTCCGCCATTGTGCCCCAAAGGTCATGTTCCAATCCTCCCTCCATCCAGATACACTTCAGTGAGGCTTGGCCATCTGTGACGATTACCCACGATCCCTTGCCACGCGTTCCTCTGCGCAGGTTACTCCTGAGGGCTTCAGATCACCCATCCTGTACAAGTGCCCAGTATGATCTACTGCTCGGCATTAAGTATAAAATAGATTCTCTTAGTCTCTTCGTTCTTTTGCGTTCTCTTCTCGTTGGAGTGGTAAACCCAGTTAGATTTGGCTTGGCCCCACAATAGGAATGAACAGAGTGGGCTTTTTCTGATCAAATCAACATTCTTAACTGGTCGTTTGGCTAGTACACTACGATATCTGCCACGGAGATGATTGTAATAGTGGTGAGCTTTGTTAAAGTGCATGAGACTAAAAAAGAGCTTTTTTGAGTCGCCTCTCGGAGGGGCTTCTTTTTTCGGTTTAAGAACATTCCACTTATTTGCGTCTAATGCACGATACAAGCTTATTTCCGTGAGAATATTGACCAGGATCCGATGGTCGTCATCATGAGTGTACTGTGGAAGATCGCCATGATGCAGAAGGAGACTGTCATTTCTGTGCATGCTAATTCAATGGACGTGGGCCACCACGGGGTTTTTCAGTTACTCCATGTTATCTCTCTCCCTCTCTGCTGCTTGCTTTGACGGGTGTCAGCCGGGGCTGCACAACCACGCTGTCCTTTGTCGCTTCTGTGAGTCGATTGACAGAAACAGGTAAATCCCCCCCCACCCCAAAAAAATAAAAAATAAAAAAAAAATCTCAAAAGATGACACTTGGTCCCGCATAACAAAAAGAGATAACCCGAATGTGATGGGTACCATTCCCTGGAGCCGGTAGAAACCCTCCAGGGGGATGGCCGGCCCTCCTGTCTTCAGTGGTATTTCATTTCAACCAAGTGATAGCACTGAGGGTGTGTGTGTGTATGCAGTGAGTGTTTTCTTTTTTTTTGTCTTTCCATGACTACAAGTGTTCACCTATGCAAAAAAAGTATGCACATTTGCGTGTTAATCTACACATGCGCCAACTTGGATGGTGTATGTCTGTGTGTAGGCTGTGGGCAGCTGCCCTGTGTCCACAGAGGTGAGGTAGTGCCTGACACCACAGGGGCAGTATTGCCGCCCCAGCCTGGGGGTGTGTCCACTTTGAGGTAAATGGTAGCCTTCTTGGCATTTGCCTGCTCTCAGTGACGCCCATGGTAAAAAAAGGCAAATGTGTATGGAAGCCTGAAGGGGCCACACTGAGTGGAGTCCGTGAGGAGTGGACTCTGTACAAACCCTGCAGGTTAGGGCTGTATATCGACACTGCCATGCAGTGCATACAGTAAAATGAGGCATTCACGTTACTCTGAGGTGATGTGTGTTTTCATGTTTGTGTGTGTGTGTGTGTGTGTGTGTGTGTGTGTGTGTGTGTGTGTGTGTGTGAGTGAAAGAGAGATAGAGAGAGAGAGAGACAGAAAGAAAGTGTTCATGTGTGTTTCTGTAGGCCGAGCTTTGCCGTCTAGCTGGTGGCTGCTGCTATTCAAAACCTCCTTAGAGGCTGGGTGTGGGGGATTTGCTTCTGACCCCTGGCTCTGAATCTACAATCCGCATATTAAATCTGATTTCCTCTCTTACTCTGCTCCTCACTCCTCTCTGCCTCCAACTTTCTCCCTTCCTCCTCTACACTCTTTTTCCTCTTGTTTTTTTTTTTCAAAGCAGTTCCTCCTTGGAGGGAGAAGGGCTTAATTGTCATTCATAAGACAGTGTGCTGCTGGAACAAGCAGCAGGAGCAATGACAAGGCAAAGTCTGCTCACGTGTGTGTGTGTAGTGTGTGTGTGTGTGTGTGTGTGTGTGTGTGTGTGTGTGTGTGTGTGTGTGTGTGTGCGTGTGTGCGTGCATGTCACAGGAGCCGGTCCAATGACACAAATGAAGGTAGGTATTTCATAAAACTGGAGTAGCCTTTTTTATAAATATAGCACCGGTTTTCACTGGGATCTAAGTAGAAGAAGCTGTAACGGCTCAGATTGAGTTGAGGAATATAGACAATGATGTTCTTCTGGCAGCTCAGCTTAACGACAGCCTTCACCAGAATAATGCCAAAAAAAAGCATCTGCTGAAAATTCCATGTGCAGTGTGCGCTGATTGCATGTGCCTGCATAACTGTGAGCACTAAAAATGTCCATGTTTGTTTCAATTACTGCCTTCAGAAGTAATACTGAGAGGTGCTGCCCAGCACGAGAGCTGGAACCAAGGCTTCAAAATGTGTAAATCTGTGACCGCTAAAGAGAACCAGAGGAGGGGAACGGACCCCTGCAAAGAGCGCTGCTCTGAAGAACTGAGGTGGAACTGGCTGTGATTGTGTTCATGTGTGTGTGTGTGTGTGTGTGTGTGTGTGTGTGTGTGTGTGTGTGTGTGTGTGTGTGTGTGTGTGTGTGTGTGTGTGTGTGTGTGTGTGTGTATGTGTATCTGTGTAGGTGTCTTGGCAAATGGCTACAACTTTGACTATATAAGACATCATGCTCAGACAGAAGGGCCCCCACTCGGATTTTAAAACAGGGGTAAGAAAAAGGAGGAGAAAGAGGTGGAGGGTGTTCAAAAAACAAAATCCTCTGTTAGCTTGACTCTCCTGTTGCTGGTGTGTTGTTTCTGTTATTGTTGGTTCCAGTTTTGTTTTTTTAAACCACAAACTGTAAATTGTGATGACCGGAGAAAACGCAGATTCCTGCCTCGAGGACTCTCCCTCCATCCTTCCCCTACAAAAAAACGATGGCCCTTCCCATCTCCCAAGTTTGCACCGCACTTCCTCTTCCCTTTGCCGTTGGTTGCAACCGTGTTTTCACACCTCCTGGTCCTCGAACACCTCCAGGAAGAGCGGCGGGAAGAGTTCATTGGGACACTCCACTTTCATGTGAAGGAAGCGGCTGGCGTGGCACGCCCCGATCATCCGCAGGTCCGTCACCTTCATCAGAAGCTTCGGCCAGAAGTGGGGAATGTTGTGCTTGCGGTAGTTGATGTAGTGCTCAAGCGCCAGCAGGTAGGTCTCCTGGCATTTCTCGATCTTGTCCATGGAGGTCAGGCCGGAGCGGTCTGGTGAAAGCAAGACAGAAGAGGAGGAGAGAGGGACGAAGAAATGATGAGTGACAGAAATAATGTGAGTGAAGGATCGAATGAAAGATTGAATTAGAGAGGAAAGAGGATCAACATTTTGAACGGGGAAAGAATCAGCTCAGTGAGCGCCTTCATGTGATATTATGTTTAATTTACAGCACTGGAGAATACTCTGTGTACTGTCAAGACTGGGTTAGGGCCGAGCAGCATTTTTAAAATACCAAACAGAGTATCAAATTAACTTATCAAGCCTGTATCTTTTCAATCTCTGATAAGAAACGATTTAGCTTTCATCGTTTCTAATTATGAGCTGTAACTTCTGCTACGAATAATTCAACATGGAGATAAAAAACTGGAGATGAAGAGATATCTAAGAACTGTTTCATGTAGGGCAGAAACACTGTTTTATTATTCATGTTTTTGGGTGAAAAAATATGACACGCTAACTCGGAAAACTAGAAACTGAGATCTGAAGAGTAAAAGAGATGTGTGACATCAGAAAGCATCACTCTGGTGGCTTAAAGACGCAGCAATCTTTTTTTTAAGTTGTCAGAATATTTCTTTTTACTTCCTCTGGCATTCAGTTATTTTCATTTTTACAGTTTTACTAAAGGGGAGAAAGTTAAAGTTAGCAAACGACTGTCGTTAGCTAGCTAACTAAGAGCTAGCAAAGCCGGTTAGCTCGCTCACAGAGAGCTAAATCTTTGTTAGCAAGAAAGCTACATGTTTTCTAGCTTGTTAGCTTGTTGGGGAACATAGGTTCACAGTTCATAAAGATGAAGGCACAACACAGCTAAAAAGCTAAAGTATTTGCCTCCATTTTTTTGTTTCTCTTGATGATTTGTCATCAGCTATAATCAATGCTAGTTTGTGTGTGCTAGTTCACCAGGCTAGAGGACGACAGCCTCCGCAACACCAAGCTACTAGGCTACCAACATCCCCCAGTGATCAGAATTTTTTAAATAGTGTTGTTAACAGTCCCAAAGAGCAGACAGAAAACAACTCTTTCTCAATATAAATTCATGTATTAAATGTTTAAGAGGACAAAGGAATGTTTATTTGGATTATTCAATTTTACTTCCAACTTCAAACACAAATTTGATCCTCGATTTTGTCTCACTTTTAATAACCTGGATATCATTGGATAACCTCTGTATGATCATTTTCATTTTTACTAACGGGCCAGGATTCCTCAACCCCTCTTCTCTTTTTATTTTTATCCTATTACTTCCAACTCTGAGCAGAAACGACTCGTGTCCTGAACCAGAATATGAGTTTCTATGAGTCAGAGCTTTTTAATCACATTCGGGATGAGTTTTCAGATTTCCTCCTTTAAACACTGACTGAGTTATTGGACTCTTCTCTACAGGTAATACAATCATTTGGATTCACATTAGGCTCCATATAAACTCTGTATAGCTGGAGGTAATGACTAAAAATATGGACAGTCATGTAATAATGTCTCCAAGGGTACAGAAGACTGAAAATGTAGATTTGCATTTCATTAAGCTCAAACTCTCGTCCTACCGATGTTATAAAGCACTCTCACACAGTTTTAACTTTAAGATAGGAAGCTAAGGTCATAAGTTCTTAAGTCGACAACAACCTGAGCTCATGAGCAGCACGGCCTGCAGCAGCGCCACCTCCGTGTCGTCCAGGTTGAACTGCGCCAAGCTCTTGCCGAGGTCGAAGATTGCGTCCGACACCACGCCCAGCCCGCCGTTCTTCAGCTGCTCCCGCTTCACCGCCATCTCCCCGCTCAGCGTCAGCGTCTCGCTCTCGGGGTCGTAGCGGATGGCGGCTCGAAGCGACATGATCTCCATGCAGCAGCCCTTCAGCAGGATGATCTGGTCTTCACAAGGTAGCTGGTGGAATAAAAGGATGTTGAATGTTTTGATGTTTAATGTTTAACGGGAAAGCTTTTCTTATCTCAACAACAAAAGGCATACTGGAGAAAGTTATTGCATTAAAGGATTTATATGTGATTTTTTGATCCAGCAGATGTCGCCCTTGAGCACCAGCATGAAACCAAAACAACTCGCGCTGCATTGTTGTGTTAGCATGCTAATGCTAGTGATCTTTATTATGCTGGTACCTTCACACTGCATGTAAATTTACCTGAAATGAGCGTGATCTAGAAACACAGTTAAGCAGTGAGTACAGTATGTTATTCTTCTTTTCTCTAGTCCCTCAATTAAACAACTTTTATACACGAGGGGAGGAGTCAGCTGGCCGTCCTGGCGATGTAAACAAACTGAAGATATGACTCTGAAAACTCTGAAAACATCACAGACAGTGGGACTCGGGTGTTACACCCATTGTAGACAGTCATGACTCACAGAGTTATTTTCAGAGGATATACTTGATTTCTATTATATTTAAGTGTGAAAAATCACATATAAAGCCTTTAAGTCGAGCCCGGCCTGCCCGCTTTGAGGACTATGGCCTCTGTAACCACTTGACTACCAGCGCCCCTTTTAGATTTTTTTTTATTTTGGGCATTTCTGAGCCTTTATTGGAGAGACAGGACAGTGGCTAGAGTTGGAAATCAGGGAGAAAGAGAGTAGGGAATGACATGCGGGAAAGGAGCCACAGGTCGGACAGTCAAGCTGCAGTCTACATTCACCACGGCTTCCAACAGAACTAGCACAGGAGTACGGCCAGATTGTAGATTTATTTGTGTACAGAAATCACCGAAAAAATGCCTTCCTCTAAAAACTAAATAACAGGATTAGTAGGCCTCATTATTTCCAGGAGAGGGGATCTTCTTGTGTACTTTACGGTCCCGTATGGAGCCCAGGTGTTAGGCACGTTTATTTAGACAACACATTTCTCCAACAAGGAAATTTAAAGTGCTTCACACAAGACAGGAAACGCATCACGAGCAGTTTTAGTCATGGAGATATTCAGTGGATGAGAATGGAAAGGACGAGGGGTCATGGGGATCTTTACTTCTGACCTCTTAACCACGGAAGTTCAGCTCATACTTGAGTCCAAAAGGAAGTTTGAGACATATTTTAAGTCATTCCCTCAAGGGTATTTATGAGTTATTGTGTTCATAAACATGGGACGGATGGATGGAGTGACAGATGGACAAACAACCCAGAAACATAAAGCCCACGGCCACAACAGCACTCTCATAACTCCTCCTGAGAGACAAACGTTCATTCTCCTCTGTTGAAATGAAGGGGAAACAATTAGTGAAGTTAATATCATCCCAGATGATCTTTCATTCATATGCTTGGCTGTGCTTGAGATGGATGACTTGAGTAAGCTGATACTCAATCATTATGATGCGACTAGGGTAAAAACTGTATGTTTGCAGGAAATGCTTTAAATATTCTTCCTTCCCGTATCCGCTGCAGTAAGCGGCTGCCCCAGGTCACCATGTTGAAAACATAAAACACATGTTGATGCACGCTCAGCATGATCGAGACGGGAGCGCAGCAGATCCAAAATTCCCCATCAGATCGTAATTATCAGGGACAGATCATGAAATAAGAAAAACGTTCCTGGTCCTTATATATGTAACCTATCAAATAGCTTATAGAAAAGTGATCATTCAAGTTAATTCAGACATTAGTTTTATTTTATTACGTCTGTTAATTGGATTCATTGATTCCTGTTTTAATCAACTTGACTTATTCTCAGATCTTAACTCGAGTGGGAATCACGATACAACACTCTAACAGTCTGGGACCTTCTTTTTGGTTAATAGTGTGTTTGAGAACGTCGGAGACGGAACGTTAGCCATAAATTGGATTCGAACCTTGGCCGCCATCTTGGAGGACTACAGCCTCGGTACATGGAGCGAGTGCACTAACCAATGCCCCACCAGTGCCCCTTCTTCTTCTTCTTCACATATCCTGCTGTCTTCTTCTTCTATTGAACGTCTTTCCAAATAACCCTTCCTTAGGGGTCATAAGCACCACCATGAGGAGTCATGACACGATGAGCCCAATTTGAGGGAGTTAAGGGAAATCTGCTCAGAGCGCCGCTTCATTTTAAAATTAAATATCAACATTTGGCACAGAGGATTGTATCGTCTCTCTCAGGATGACGACATATTGCCATAATTATATTTTCTCCCAGCTCTACTCAACAATCAACTTAACAAACGTGTGTTTTTTCTTTTGAGGAGCGGGTCAGTAAAATGATATGAGGGAGTGATTATGAGAAGTTCTGCAGGATATAAGGAGCCAGGGAGGCACAGACGTTGTGGAGAAGAAGGCACAGGAGGACGAGGAGGACGAGATGAATAAATATATTTATTTAAGGATAAGGTTGAAGAGTGGCAGACGTTTCTTCTTTTCAAGAGATGAAAACAGATTATGACTAACACACCCTGATTTACATGCATATTAGAATCTCCGGGGTTGAAGCCCGCTTGATTAAATCTACAGACATGCCGCTGCGCTGAATTCAATCTCACCTTTTGTGTGAGCGTGTTTCACCGCTCTCGTCTGCTGAGTCGATTAATTGGCGTTCCCCCGGACTTGATTTGTCTCGTAAGATTCTTGCACGGAGGGCTCGCTTAATTTTTAGTGACTGCTTTTTGTTTCTCGTGCTTTCTTATCAGGAATTCACTGCGCTGGCATGAGCAGATCTCATTTAAGGCTAAACAGGTTCTGTGCCATCAGATTCAAAAGTTTCTTTCAGAGTATTATCCATTATGAAGTGAATCAAAACGATAACATAATACACGTGGTTGATTATCTGCTTCAGTGTGTGGAATACTAAACGTCTCTGCCCTTATCTTCTTCTCTTTACTTTCTTTAACATTAATGGATTATCCCTCAGCAGAATGAGCTTCTCATTTACATGTATTTGAATAGTAGCATCCGTCATAATAGAACAAATTATACTAAAATATGCTGATTAAAAAAGTGATGACCTCTACTTTCAGAAGTTTCTCTGATTTATGTTTCCAAATACAGAGATGAATTACAGTTACCTCACACCCCACACTCCGACGCACAGTTTTCATTCTCCTACACACACACACCAACGCACACACTCTGCAGCTGTCGCCCTAGACAATACCTCAGCTACCCTGATAATTATCCAATCACGCCCGGGCTCATTGCGAGCAGCAGGGGGAGGAAACATGATTACATGTTGCTAATTAAGGCGGGGCAGACAGGAGTGCGCCTCTGATTGTGAGCAGCGACTGGAGCTGCTTCCAGATCAGCAACGTCTACTTAGTGAGAGCTGTAGCAACATGGTAAATGATCAGCGGCACATTAACCTCTGACCTTTGTTATTACCTCCAACAAGGAGGTTGTGTTTGCTGATTGTCAGCAAGATTACTATAGAGAAAGTGCTGCAGACATTCGAAAACAGGGATCAGAGGGAGGAGTGAGGGATGATGACATATAGTTATTGATAGAAGTGAAACCTGGGGCTGCTGTTGGGCCGCCATGACAGACACGACATGTTTATCGTTTCCAAGGAAACACCTGATGTTACTTCAAAGAAATGCTGCTGAAAGCTGAGAAGTTGTTTGTTAAAGAAACACGACTTTTACAGGACGAGATCAGCCAAATGAAAGGTACAGCTTTGTCCACAGGGGGCGCCAAAATCAACACAAAAATAAAGTTCCTCACAGTAGCTTTAATGAACAGGATATATAATGTGTTGTTATGAAACAAAAAATGATTTTGCCATTCTCGAGGATACTGAAATCTTCAAACAACCTCATCATTTTATAGAAATTTTAATATCAGTGCCATAATAAAAGATTAGGAGACTTCTGTTCTGGCCCTTGAGCCAGGTTATGACAAACTAAATATGTAGACTTTGGTAACAAGCTGCTGTTTCCGTCAAAGTATTTACAGGATTGACATGATGAAAAGGTGTTTTCTCTTTTTTGAAGGAGTGTGTCGAATATGTTATGTTAATAAAAATAGAACAGGAGGATGGCACTTATCGCCTGTTAGTACGAATTTTCATGAAATTCATTAATCTTGTAACTTCGTGAAATGTATTAATCAAGTCTGCCTACCACCTGTTAACACTCCTACTTTTAGGTGTCTGAAGCTGTAAACTTATATGAGTGAAGCACCTAAGTAGTAGCAGATCTATGTTTGGATAGGAGCCAAGCATATGTTGTCAGCAACTGTTTGCTAGACAGAGAGTCTACAGTTGTTACGTATACAAATCAGTGTCATGTCATCTTTATTGTTTTATGGTGATGCACCCAAATGGAAAGGAATTTGTGGGTTGCACCTTTTTGACAGAATATAAGCAGCACTGTGAACACTGCTACTTTGTCAGCATTTTGTCAGTCAAGTGATTTGGAAGCATGCTTGTTTGATGAAGTTGTCTGACCTCGGCCGATTAAACGGTGTTATAATCTCCAGTCTGTTTCACGATTTCTTCAATGGATTTATACAAACAGAAACAACCCCCACCTAACATCGCCACAATCATATCCTCACTATTTTTATAGTTATGGAAGTATATATACCTCAACAGTTGACCTTGGCAGAGGACGACGCTCTGAGTGGAAACCTTGTTTCCTAATGAACGGCAAAGATTTAAAGAACCTTTCATGTCTTAAATCTTTTTGACACTTTTTCCACAATAGATTTATCTCCCTCCACTGAGCACCGTTCAGTTGTTAAATATCACTCGTAACTTTTCAACCACATGTCCTTTTGGTCCTCCTCCAATCGAGGAAACGCCAATTCAGCTGGACACATCCAACCTCTTTAAATCACTCATTTCTTTAACACACACACACACACACACACACACACACACACACACACACACACACACACACACACACACACACACACACACACACACACACACACACACACACACACACACACACGCCTGGCTGTGTACGTTACACTTCTTTGTGTGCGTCAGACTCCCACACTCGCCCTCTGATCCACAGCACCATTAACCACCGCTCACCTCAGAGAACATGGGCAGTTTTTTGGCAAAGTCGACCACGCGGGTGATGGCAGGAGTGATGATCTTGGTGAACTCGCTGAAGGCCTCTAGGTCCACCTTGTCTCCGTCTGACGAGGGCTCAACCGGGGACTGGCCGATTTTGTCTGGCTGCATGGGAAGAGAGAAGAATGTGGCTGATTAGAAACCGGTCAGAACTGACATCACACCAGTTAAAAGTTATAAAAGAGGGAAAGCTTAAGTGATAAAGATGACTCAAAGATGGACCAATACCAACAACAACTGATCTTTATTATTAATATCATCTGTGGTGAGAGCGTCTAACTCTTATTCATCTGTGTTATGAGAACTAATGTTGTCCAGGAACAATTAAAAACACATCAGTGAAACACGCTGTGAAGCTGCTCTCCATCTTTCTTCATTAACATGAACACAAAGTGATGTTTATCTCAACTCAGTCCAACATACACAGTGTCCTGCTGCCATAAAAAAAAATCAAGTGTGTATTCATCCGCAGCTGAAAATAGTCCCCTACAAGTGCAACATTTAGCTTTACCTGTTTGTGAAAAACTACAATGCTCAGATAGTTGGAAGTTTAATCAGACTTAAAGGTCACATATCATGAACATACACTTTACCATGTTTCTCTAACACTAACATGTGTCTCTGGTCTGTCTTCAAAGCCCCCAATTATTAAAAGAAAGTCCATCCTCTCTGTCTTCTGCCTGCTCCACTTTTCAGAAAATGTGTGCTCAAACAGGCCGTTTGGAGATTTTCCCTTCATGACATCACAAAGGGCAGTAGCCCCTCCCCCAGGTGGGTGACACTCCCACAGCTAGGTGTTTGTTCTGCCCTCTGAGTCTGCCTTCTCACCGTAAACAATAGGACATGGAGCGAGAAAGCACCGAGTACACCCAAGCCCTTCCAGAGAGGGGGCGTGGTCAGACACAGCTCATTTACATATTTAAAGGTACAGACACAGAAACAGCCTGTTCTGATCAGGGCTAAAATAGAGGGGTTTATAGGCATGATCAAATACAGGATCAGAGTGGATTTAGAACAAGACACCACACACACATGTTTTGAGGAGCTCTGAGACTTATTTACACTGAAGAAGAGGAGGAGAATATGTTGCAAACAGGGTGAGAAAGTATCAGATTAAAAAATCATGTAGCTGTTGATCTTTTTATATTAAAGTAGAGTTATGCTAGATTTACAGTTTGAAGGGAACATGAAAGTGGGTGTACCATGATTGAGTAGGAGAGTGTATTTGAGCCAGGTAGATTAAAGAACAAAGAAGAAGAAGTGAGATCTAGTGAAGAGTTCGGGGGTGTTCTCTGAATTGAACAGCACAAATGAATAGAATAAGATAATAGAAGAATCAATACAAGCGGCGTGGGGGTTTCAAATAAAGTAAAGCCGGGGAAACCACAGGCTAGAAACACTTTTATACCCTTATTTGCTTGTTTTCTACAAAGTGCTTTCTTTCCTTGGGAGACAAATTAAAAACCAATACATCAGATAAGGAGGGCAGGCCGTGCTCTGTGAGAGGAATGGGACGTGTCAGCAGACAGATTAGCTTTACTTCCAGGAGGACTGCAGCGAGGAACTGCAGAGAGCAGGAATACATGTGTTTATGTGTTTATGTGTGGCTTGTGTGAATCCAGGATGGAAAATAAATAAATCTAGTGTCAAGGCTAAAGTTATTCATTCAGTCTGCGCTTTGACGATAAATGGGACGAGATAGAAATGTAGGAATAATCACCTCACACCAGGAAGAATCCATCATTACCCAAGAGGGAGAGGAGTTAAGTAAATCAGTGTGAATTTAGCCAACGCTGCTGAGGAGTTATGGAAAATTCAAAATGATCATAATAATAACTTTGATGGACTGCAACTACGAGAGCCAAAACAAAGCTGGAGTTTCTCTAAAAGAGCTCTCAGGAGAGAAACGGAGGGAGCAGCTGAGGTTCAGAGCTGCTGAGTGAACGCCACAGTGTCGAGTGGAGGAGCGTGGAATCAAACCGCGAGACTAAAGCCGCCTCGGGTTCAGCTGCAGGTCAGGAGTCACAAACTGAGACACAGACGACAGCCATGGATGCCGAGTCGTTAACCCATTTCTGTCTACAGCGCGGCTTAGAGAAACACACTTTCATGCCTCGTCTACCTCCAGAAGCATCGAGCCAGAAAGATAACTTTGTTTTTTTATTCGTCCAGGTTTTTAAATATCTGACATTTCTGCACCGACCTCAATGTGACAAAGAAGCTCAAAGAAGTGATAAATGTTGTTAAAAAAAAGGGCGATGTGTCTCTAAAACATGTTGAGCATACACTTCATGTTTTCGGAGGGACTATTTCTTTAAGAAGAAAAACTCCACAGTGAAGTCTGTGATTTACCCAGAATGACGACAGATGAAAAAAATAGATGATGAAGCTTTTGAAAGATAAATTGAATGGGGGTGCAGTGGTGTGTTAGTGGTCAGTGCGTGTGCCTCATGTACGGAGGCTATAGTCCTCTTAGCGGGCAGCCCAGGTTCAAATCATAGACTGTAAATATTAATGGGTGGAGCCTGAGTGATGTCAGCCATCTGTTCCTGCAGGGGGTTCCGGAGGCTAATCGGCAGCAGCCACCATGTTGGAAATCCTGTCTCAACCTAACTTTCAGTCAACCTAACGACAGGCTGAGAGCTGGAGCTGAGGCGGGTTTGACCTGTCAATCATGTCAGCTACGCGCCTGACTATGGATAACATGTATCGTTTAGAAAATCAGGATTAAACAAAATACATTTTGGGGCTTTTTATGTCTTTTTTAGTGCGACAGGACAGTGGATAGAGTCAGATATCAGAAGGAGAGAGAGAGAGAGAGAGGGGAGTGACATGCGGGAAAAGAGCGACAGGTCAGTTTCGAACCAGAACCGCCCGCTTGGAAGACTTCAGCGTCCGTACATTGGCCACGCACTAACCATTACGCTACAGGCACACCCAGGACTTTGCATGCTTTTTGTCAGAAGGGCTGAATTCTGCCCAAACTCTGCTTGATTAAGTTTAAGTGTGTACTCCATATTAAGAGAGACAATCGATGAAATGTTTACCCTCAAGTAAAAACACAACATGTTTCAAAGTTTTGCAAACTGATCTTTATGCTACAGCTGCACCTAAATGTACTTATTCTAATGAAAAGAGTTCTCCACCCTCCGTCTTATATGTAAGCAGCTCCATCTCAATACTTGAAGTGTTCCTGGAGCTCTGAACGCTCCTCCTCCTCCGACACTGACTAATGTGGTTCATTATGCTAAGCACAGGTTGATATTTGCGTTTCTTGAACATTCTCTGGGGCGTGTTGGGGCCTGTTATGGACTCATGTAATTTCCCCTGTAATTGCTACTGTTTGTTTATGAACTACAGTAGATGGCCATGAGGGTGGCATACGAGGGAAAACACTTAGGTACAGAGCACCCGCAGTGCTGGAGATGAGTTATAGCTCTGCTGCTGCTGCTGCTGCTGCACAGGCTGGGCGGTCAGGAGGCGTAAACATTCAGGGGGATGTATGTAAAGCCCAAAACACTCTTTTCTGTCATGTGGAGCAAAAATAGGAAAGTTAGGATCTGTTCCAAAAGAAGCAGCAGACATTTGGACTTTGCCATAAAGACTCTGGGACTTGGCACCAGCTCGGCCTGAAGGAGTAAAAAAAAAAAAAGGAAGAAAAATGTCTCTTCTACTGCAGTCCCATCAGTTATGTGGAGAGCTTCAACTCTTGACCTTTTATCAGATGGATTAGAGCTGGAAAGTTTGTTCCAGTGGAGCGAGAGAAAAGAGAAATGAGGTCCTAAAGTTGCTGACCCAAATGGATGCTTTCAGTCATGAGCTATGAACTCTACACTTAGTTCATGCTTTGTTGGATTATGAGACAGATTAAATTCATTGTATTATGTTTTTTTTTTTTTTTTGTCATTCATAATGAAACTGCCTCTTGCTCCTTGGTGAGTTTATAAAGAAGTGATATCCTCTAAAGCCTGGCTCAGACTGCAGGATGATCGAGACGATTTGAGGTCCGATTCTTTCTTCCCGACAAACCGACTCGAGGCTGCTCGGAACCGATCATCTGCCCAGATTATCTTGTAGTGTGAGTCGTACAAAGACCCAATCTTAACCTCTGCTGTGCTTGATATTTAGAATTTAAAATCTTGACAATTACATCATGAAAGTGTCTGGAGGAAGTTAGCCATTTCTCCACCCAAAACCCAAAACTTTTCCTCTCTGCACAAAGCATTATAATGGCAAATTTAGCTGCTAGCTCCGTTGTTTAAGTGAGGTCACATGAGGTGGTGCGTTCCTCCATCCGGCATGATAATCTTAATGAAATCATGTAGTCTTTGATGTACCAAGATTTTCACATCTTGTAGTGTGAGCATGTTTATGGGAGGAGAATATCTGTTAGGATTCTCCTGGTGTGTGTGATGCTAACTGAATTCAGAATCAGGAAGGATTTTAAAAACTCCTGCAGCGAGATCCAGACTTTACACAAAGCAGTACAGACTGTAAAGTAATTTATCAGGAGATGTTGATCCATACTCAGAGCTCAAGGTGCTGAAATATCTGGATGTAAAACGTTCCTTTCGTGCAAACATTCAGGACACTTCATTACCAGTGAAATAAAGAAATCTGATCCTCAGTTGTTTTTTTTTTAAGCTTTGATATAAATAATCTGGTCACGATATACTCAAATACATTTCACAGTACAGTTCATGAGAAGGTGATAAGATCACTTCTTGACCGCGGCTCGACGAGTATGTAATTGAAAGATGTTTTTCAACGTCTCTGACTCTGAATGTCTGCATGCAACCCAAACCGCACTGAAGGACTGTGGGAGATTCTGTTATCAGTAAAACTGTATCCATCGTCGTTTAGAATCTGAATACCTGAGAAGAGCAGCTCAGGCCGGCCGGCAGAAATGTTTGTCTGAGACTAACAGCGAGTGAGTCGCAGACAAAGTAAATGAGTTCACAGCCTATTGAGAGGAGAAGAGCGATGTGAGCTGAAAGGCGGGCAGCGGGGTTTGTGCTTCACTCGGCCTGGAGACGAAATAAAAAGGCCCGCAGCGGGAAATGTAGACTGACCTTTATAGGACGGATGGATAGTGAGAACTAATGGACACTCACATATCATCCTTTACATATCAGAGAATTAACAACGTCACATTTTGTACTTTACGTCTGACAGAAAGAGGCTGATACTGATGAGAGTTATAGAAAGGAATATTCACACATGACTTTGACGGCAGAAGATTCAAATTTCAGATTTTAATTTATGTTAGATTTGCTCTGAGCTGCTGAGCAAAAAAGATGATGCCTGACCACAGACAGTGAGAGAGAGAGAGAGAGAGAGAGAGAGAGAGAGAGAGACAGAGATAGAAAGAGAGAGAGCGAGAGAGACAGAGAGAGACAGAGAGAGAAAGAGAGACAGAGAAAGAGGAGAGAGAGAAAGAGGAGAGAAAGAGAGAGGAGAGAGAGAGAAAAAGAGAGACAGAAAGAGAGCGAGAGAGAGAAAGAGAGAGAAAGAGAAGAGAGAAAGAGAGACAGAGAGAGAGAGCGAGACAAAGAGAGAGAGAGAAAGAGAGAGAAAGAGGAGAGAGAGACAGAGAGAGAAAGAGAGAGATAGAAAGATAGGGAGAGAGAGACAGATAGAGAGAGAGAGAGAAAGAGAGAGAAAGACGAGAGAGAGACAGAGAGAGAAAGAGAGAGATAGAAAGAGAGGAGAGAGAAAGAGGAGAGAAAGAGAGACAGAGAGAGAGAGCGAGACAGAGAGAGAAAGAGAGACAGAGAAAGAGAGGAGAGAGAGAAAGAGGAGAGAAAGAGAGACAGAGAGAGAGAGCGAGACAGAGAGAGAAAGAGAGAGATAGAAAGAGAGGAGAGAGAGAAAGAGAGAGAGAGAGTGTAACTGTATCTCAGACCTGTGTGTGAGCCTGCAGATCTCGAGACTCGAGTCGCGTTCAGCCAAGTAATAATTTGGGCAGGACACGCGAGGTTCAAATGTTGTGTTGTGTTGTGTTCAGTTCAAGAAGCTGGGAAACTGAAAATAAACCTCTAGGTGCACTAGGTCATGGTCAGCTTGCAGCTTAAATCTGATACTGACTGAATATGTTCAAGTCATACACCAAAAATAAACCTCGAAGAGTTTCCAGGAACTTGACCGCGACTGACTCGGCTGTCCTGCCATCTCAACAAGTCCTCCAGAGGGTATCAGGTGTTATCACAGCAGATATTGATTGAATTAGGAGCATTAATAGAATACTGTAGATGTCAACATATTCATTATGTCATTTTTTAAATGAAGAAATTTAAGACGTCGTCGATTTCCTTTCTACTCAAAATGTAAATATCAATATCAGCTGTGAATTTCTTCCAAGTGGATGATACAATATGACACGACACAGTTTGTTTTCTGTCCCAGAATCCTTCACTCATCAATGCACAGTTTGCTTCTGGTTTTTATTTTACCATGTTTTCAAGCCAGCTGCTCATTGGCTGCTCAACAGATTGAATTGAACACATTCAGGGCCGTCTGCCTCGAACCAAACAAGAGTGCAAGTCTTTCCACAGCTTACTGTAATCAGTGCATCATTCAACAAAGTCACCCTCCAGTGGGAAGTCATTTGTGAGTTCGGGGGGGGGGGAGGCAGCGTGAGGAGCCATGTCACCGCTGCCGTCCCCACAGGACTGAAAGGGCTCATCCGGTCGCTTAGCATGAAAATTTAGATATTCAGGGTTCAGCAGCTTCAGCCTCCAGAGCCCTGTTAGTGTGGTGAAGCCTGTGTGAAATAGAACTGTTTATCCTTTAGATGAAGCCAGCTCAGGCTGAGATACGCTTTTATTTCACTGCAACAACGGTAACTATGCTAATGAGTCTCTGGATCCTGGTTTTAATAGACACTTCTTTAGGTAAATAAAAATACAATTCTCTACCATTTCTTTCCTTAAACTAACCTCCTAAATGTAAGACTTGATTTACCTGCACATTAAAGAACATGACCAAAATTTAGCATCTAATGTGTGTTATTTATTTATTTTTTGACAAGAGTACATTTTGAAACTTCCTCTTCTCTTCTTTGAAGCTCCACACACCTCCTCATCCACCTCATCCTCACATGTCCCTCTTCCAATCACAACCGGCCACATCCTTTCTGTTGCCTGGCAACTGGCCACCACAACACTTGCCACTCTACACCACAAGTGCTTTCAAGCCCCTTTCCAGATGAACCCCCCCTGTGTTTCTCACATCTAACGCCCACCTAAACCTGCAGATCCCCCATTCATCCTTTTTTTTTCTTTTGGCCATTAGCTCTGGTTCAGTGTGCTGCAGGAAAACTGTTAACAAGTGCTCAAAACTTGTACATAATGTTGTGGCAGAGCACGAGGTCAGTGTGTCTGTCAGGGGGGGTGTGAGGGGGTGTGGGGGGTGTGTGTGGTGTGTGTGTGTGTGTGGGGGGGGTGTGTGGGGTGAGAGGATGATACCAGGCAGGGACACCCTGACAGGCCCGTCCAGGATAAATCTGAGAACGAGCTCAGCAGGAAGACAGTTTGAGAGAGACAAACTGAGTGCCAGCATCCCTGCCAACTTTCAGATGAGCGTGCACATGACGGAGGATTTGCGCTGGCTGAGATAAGGGTGGTGGGTGGAGGCTCACTGAAAACAGACGGGGGAGAGCAGAGGAAACGTAAAGGGAGGCACGAGGGACAGTGAGAGAGAAACAGAGAAATGAAGACGGGAAAAGATTAAAGCGAAAAGAGAGAGAAAGGAGGTGTGAATGAAAACTACGACGGGAATTAGGTCTGGTTAAGAGCCCAGAAGGATTAGGATGAATCCCCCCCCCACCCCGCTAAAGAGAACTGAGGAATAAAGACACAGGAAGAGGGAGACGCAGAAACAGAAACAGACAGCGGGGGAGCGCGGAGCGATAAAGTCATACAGAGCGTCTTTGACAGGAAAAAGCCTCAGCTCCCCCAGATAAAATGAACCCCTATCATTTATGACATTTCAGAGTGAATATCAGTGTGAGAACATAATCCGAGACGTCCCGCTGTGAGGTTGTGACAGGGTTAAAAGAAGGGAAAATGGAAGCACAAACACTACAGTAATTACCCCTGTGGCTGTTTGTTTGTTTGTCAAGTGTTTTTTTTAAGACTTTAAAAGGCTTCATGATACTCTGATGTTCTCAAAGTCAAGACGTCCTCGCTGCTTTATTATAGATCACTTCAAGCTCTGTGCATTTATGTCCTCCTCTGATCTCTCTTTTGTTGTTTTACCGCTTCTTTGTTGTACGTCAAGAAAAACCAAAAAGGATCTTCTTATTTTCATGTTGTTGGCCAATGTTCCCGTCACACATCATCACTTTGTTCTCATCGTGTAATAAGTGAGATCTTATCTCTGAAACACTTCAGACACAGGAGGAAACTTGGGAGATGTGAAAAATCAGACCCAAGGTAAACAAACGTTATCAAGGCAGACAAAACCTGCCAAACACCACATCACATGATGACATTTATCACTTTGTCTACTCTCTGATTTCTGCATCTAACCTTCTTTAAAGTCTTTATTTGTGATTTTTCACACTTAAATGTAGCAGAAATCAAGTATCTCCTCTGAAAATAACTGTGAGTCATGACTGTCTACAATGGGTGGAACACCCGAGTCCCACTGTCTGTGATGTTTTCAGAGTTTTCAGAGTCCTATCTTCAGTTTGTTCACATCGCCCGGACAGCCGGCTGACTCCTCCCCTCGTGTATAAAAGTTGTTTAATTGAGGGACTAGAGAAAAGAAGAATAACATACTGTACTCACTGCTTAACTGTGTTTCTAGATCACGCTCATTTCAGGTAAATTTACATGCAGTGTGAAGATATGAGCATAATAAAGATCGCTAGCGTTAGCATGCTAACACAACAATGCAGCACGAGTTGTTTTGGTTTCATGCTGGTGCTCAAGGGCGACATCTGCTGGATCAAAAAAATCACATATAAAGCCTTTAACTTGACCTTTCAGTATTAACTTTACATATAAACCAAATGTGAACTGTCATTTTGGAACAATCTGCCACTTGAATTTCCTCCAGGATTATTAAAGGAGATCTATGAAACTCACATTCACCATTATTGATGTCAGTCTGGGACACCTATTGAGTAGCGCTGCGAGATGAGCGGCTCAAAAACCTCTTTAATTATCTCATACTGGCGTTAGTAAAATCCCTCATTTCAACCTCTGCCTGAAACGGTTCATTTCAGCTGCTGTCTCTTTAAGGCCCGCCCTCCCCACATGCCCACTTTCCTCCAGCTCTGATTGCAGGCGCAGGTAAATTTGAGCAAGTTACCGGGGTGGGCATGTCCTACAGCTTTGCTCTGATAAGTCAGACGTATAACAGGCATCATCATTTTGTTACTAAAAACATTTTAGTGTATACAGTCATACAATGTTAACGCTTAAATCCTTCTGAGGATCTAAACGCAGGTTTCCCCGGGTGTTCTTACCAGGAATTTGCGTTTCTGTTTCCACTGGGAGCCCTGAGCGTTGGTGTGTCGGTGGGCCTCGGTCACATGGCGGATCACCTCCCACTCCGACGTGGTGGGCTCTGGACGGTTCTGGAGAGTTTTCACTATTTCCTCCTTCTTTCGTCGCTCCCTGTTCTCCTCAATGAGCCGCCGTTTAGCAACCCGCTTTGAGTCGTCCAGGACCACTGAGAGGAGGAGGAGGAGGAGGAGGAGGAGGAGGAGGAGAAGGAAGACGATGAGAAGGAGGAGCAGGAAGAGGAGGAGGAGGAGAAAGAAAGAGGAGAGGAGAAGGAGGAGGAGGAGGAGGAGGAGGAGGAGAAGGAAGACGATGAGAAGGAGGAGCAGGAAGAGGAGGAGGATGAAGAGAATAATGAGCCAGAGCACACTACGTCATAAGCTGCATTGAAGTCATTTGTCTTTTGTGTTGGCTTGTTTTCCTGTGTGTGTGTGTGTGTGTGTGTGTGTGTGTGTGTGTGTGTGTGTGTGTGTGTGTAAATGTGTGGCTGCAGCACTCACAGTCCATGGCCATGCCCACTGCGATGCACTTCTTGAAGCGGCAGAGCTGACACTGGTTGCGGGTGATCTTGTCGATGATGCAGCAGCCATCGTACTTACAGGAGTAGGCCGGGTGGAGGTTCTTTTGGATGGTCCTACGGAAGAAACCCTGAAGAAAGACGAGACGGAGAAGATGGAGAGAGAGACTCATGAGTACATGAAGTGAAAGCAGACTGAAGATAAGCTTCAGGCTAACTCGTTCTTTTTAACGTTTGTTACAAGGGGACAATTATTTGACCACTGCTGCTTCTTTAGAAGGAAACTAATGCAGAGATAAAATCCTTCATTTAAAATGTGATCTACTTTTCTCTGTACCTCACTTTTTATTCTTTAATTTTACCAAGTCCGGGGCAGTCTGTGTAAATATTAACACCAAGGAATAGGTAATAAGTCATTGCTGGAAGGCAGCGGTGTAGGAGTGAGCTAAACAAACCCCGGATATGAATCTATATGCATACATGAATCCTTAAATTTCAGAGCTGTACTATGAGACTCTGGAAACAGTAAAAAAATGTTTATATGATACAAAGTGGAAAAAGTCTAATAAATCAGCTGAGTGAAAATATACAACAAACAGCTTTTCCTTCTGTCTGATCTTCTCTCAACACTGGAGAGGCGTCGCAGATAACCATTTCATTTCCACCTGCCTTCTATGATTGACATCTGAGTCTCCGAGCAGCACACAGGCTTTTATTAATTGTTCAAGCAGAGTTGCGAAACATTTGCTGGTTTCAGCTTCTTAAATGTGAGGATGTGCCGCTTGCCTTTAGCGAAATGTCTACATCAGTTTGATTAAAGAAGAGTATTTAAGAAGTCACTTTGGGCTTTCAGACATCATAATAATCATTTTTCAGATATTTGAATGATTAAAGTCAGGCCACCTAGCGTTTTTTTCCGGGTAGAAAAGTGCTGGCTGTGCGCTCAGGACTGTCTGCATGAAGTGTTTGTGCTCTGAGAAGAAAAGCGCTGCAAGTCCATCCTGTCTCTATGACAACAGATTGTTGACAACAGCCGCTGTATGACCAACACTGCTCTGTTACTTTTAACTGAATGTTTAATATTTGAGATCGTTTTTAACCTCAGCAGAGCAAAGAGGATGTGGGTAGAAGATACGATCCGTAGGAGGCTATAATAAGGGGATTATCATACAATTTGAAAAGACCGCTCTATTGTGAGCGGTGACGTAAACAGTGCCTTTCCGAAAAGTTGAACGTTTTTCAACTTGAGCATCTGGAGCGGCCGCACAAAAACGGCAGAGCGCTTTTTAAAAAACGAAGCTGGGCGCTGTGCTTTTTTCTCCAGACGGCTGCTTTCTGCTGCATATGCTCTCTACTCATTGAACTTTGACCCCATCTGTCACATAACTGTATTTATCTTTTTATTATCATGTTACTTCAGCATCTTTTGCACTATTCACCACTGCACTGTTTCTTATTTAGTCTTGTAATATTAGTCTTTGCTTATTATGTTTATTGTTGATATTTAATGTTGTACCTGTACACAAGAGAGCACACTTTATCAAAGTTAAATTCCTTGTGTGTGTGTGTGTGTAAGCATACCTGGCCAATAAAAGTGATTCTGATTCTGAAAACAACTGAAAAAGATGCTGGTGCTCAGAAAAAACTGCTAGGTGGACACAGGGCTTTATTGTTACTTGCAGCCCTAGAGTAAATATATTTCTGCATTTCTAGCCACTGCTCTGTGGAAACATTGTGTTATTTGAATGACACTTAGGTATTTCATTTTCGAGCCAATCAATCATAAGATCAATGCATCAACGTAAACCAGTCTGTGTGACAGTCCTGTCACTGGTGCCTCAGATATCACACGTTATTGATGAGCAAACACGAGCAGAAGAAACAAAAGCTCACCGATCATAAAAGTGTCTCACAGCGAGGGGAATAATGGATATGAGACAAGAGAGCTGACGTGTTGGACTGACAGGTTTTTACACAAACATGTCATCCATCTTTATCTGTGTGTGTGTGTGTGTGTGTGTATGTGATCGTGTGTGTTTGAAGTAAGCGGCTGTTTCACAGCGTGTGTGAACGGGTGTCAGAAATGTAGCTGTATGTGCAGAAGCGGCTGATCTCAGAGGCTTCCCATCAGCTTTACCTGACAGATATTATGTGTGTTATGGGGCCTGTGTGTGTGTGTGTGTGTGTGTGTGTGTGTACCTTGCAGCCCTCGCAGGTAATGCAGCGGTAGTGGTAACCTGTGGCCTTGTCGCCACACACCACACATGGCTCATCCTTTTCGAGGTAGCTGGGGATGTACCCTGCAGAGAGGAGGAGAAATAAGAGACAAGGTTAGACAGAATTATGGGATTTTGGTTTCACACAGGCGTCCGGGGGGCCCAACACTGGTATCCCATTACTCTCACAAAGAAACAAGCTTTAGAGCGTCCTCCTCTCCTTTGAGTCACATTACCGCTCAGATCCACTCTCCCTGCATCCCTACACATTATTTGTGTTCATCACCTCTGCAGCACGCTCTGAGACTGCACCATTTCTGCTGAACAGAGGAAACATCAACAACAAGTTAAGACTTTATATACTTATTTACTTTTCACATGATACTACTATTTTATTACAAAAAGCATATCATTATTTATTATTATTATTATTATCTGAATAACATACTTAAACTAGTTAAAATAAAAAGAAATATTTATATGTTTACTCAAAAGTAGAGCCTGACCGATTAATCAGATTCTTTTTTCCCCCCCCCCAATATCGGCATCAGCCTGATAAAATCCCATATCAGTCGGGCCCTTCTCAAAAGAACAAAAGTGCTTTTAAACAGACATTTCTTATTTCAAATAGTTAATCCTTTTAATCTTTTCAGATATTTATAAAAGAGAAAGATCAAATGGAATTCACTGTGTCGTAGTCAGTCCTTGATCACAGCACAGAGCTGATGTATTTCTACAGATGCACAGAACACAAACAGAACATACATCCTTCATAAATGGGAAACATTTTAAGCCTTTTTAAAGTTCTGTTACAGCCCGAACAATGATTATATATATATATTTTTTTAAGCCTGTCAGTTCTGTCTTTTAGTCTCATTTTTAGTTTAACAAGAAAAATACGATAAGATACATTTTTATTGATCCCCCATTGGTGGAAATGTATTTGTTGTTACCACAGCTTAAAAAATAGTAACAGAATCAGCTATAAAAAGCAAAAAGTAACCAAAAATAAAGGAAAAACAAAGAAAAGGGGGTTGGAGCTGCCACCCACGCGGTGCCAGATGTTACGATGGGTAACCATCAAACACTCTAATACTGTAAGCTTCCAAACGGATAAATCAGAACACCCTCTGGTCTTCTTCAGATGTCCTCACTGATTGTATTTACTATCTTTGCCAAGGAGAGCCTTCCACATAACACATAATATCTGACTCTTCTGAAGTAAGACAGCATATGCATGTTTATTAGGCTTGATAGGAACAATGTCTGGGGCAGTGCTCTTCACGTCTGCTTATGGTTAAGACGACGCCTGAACATGATCTTGACATTTACATACATAAGTCGGAGTCAGTTCTCTCGGTGCAACAGCGCCTGACCCGCAGGACTACACAATCAGTACATATCTGAAAAGGTTAAACAAGTCCCAGGGAGTCTTTGACCCAAACGAGCTCTGTGGAAAAATATGTTTTTACAAAGGGGGTGCTGTTATAAGGAACTGAATGACGTGATACACATGCCTCATACACGTCAAAACGTTCACCTGATTGACAGTTGGGTGTGTCGCGGATTGAAGCAATGCACCAGCAAAGGCAGGAAAGAAAAATACTATTACTGTTTATATTATCAGAAAACCTTGATGTGAACAACGTGCCACTTACATCCCCCCCCCCCCCCAAAAAAAAGAGAGTTGGCATCATGAGTGTTTTCCGAGGAGGAAAATGTAATCAACATGTTTTTCTCCGTTCTCAAGGACACACAACAAATGAGCTCTGAATGTATACATGTTTTTTTTCCTAATAGGAAAACTCTTCTGGGCATTTTGAGGGTCTATAGCTTTCATCTTGGACAACAACAGACCAGGAAAATACCAGACGTATTAAGTAAACTCTTCCGCACCCACACTATGGGCGCTGGTCCATACCATCATTACCAATGAAACTACCTCACTCCTTTCATGAGTTTTTAAAAGCAGAATCAAAACGGCAAATTTATGCATTTGGCCTCCAAGTCAGATTATTCCTTGTGACCAGCAGGAGGTGACTGGCTGTATAAAGAAGTGTCTTTTAAGTTGTCCTCAAATTAGCATGAATGCTAATGGAAATTATCGTCCAATTTATGTTTAGAAAACACAAAAAATCGGAGTTTTCTTTAGCGTGTTGCTAATAAGAAAATGGACACATTGCGAGCACAGTCGCATTAAAATTGTTTGGTTATAGAAAATGTTTTTGATGAGTACATTTGGGTTCAAAAAGAGGAAACTGAAGTGTGCAAATCCAGGCAAAATGCATACAGGTGCAGGACTGATGTGTACTAGCTAAGAACTGTTAGAATAAAACGGACCATTGGGAGTGGAACAGTCTGCCGACCTTTTGGTTTTAAGTCTGTTTCTCTGCTAGTCAAAATTAGCATCCAAATTAGCCTCTCACTAGCTAACTAAGCTAACAAAGCTAACTAAGCTAATGTTAACTTGTAACCTCATGCTTCTATAGCTCTAAAATGTCTTCCAAAATCAGTCCCTTCTGCTTTCATCAAATCAAGTTTGTGAATTATTGAAACAGCGGACCACATGCAAACAGGTGACATCATGGTGACTGTATTAGGGTTGTCACGATTGTCCCCATTTCAATGCATTATTAGTAAAAGTCAGATAATATTGATACCTATTTTGATACCATGACAACCAAAAATATAAGTCCTCAACACCCAATGTTGGGCAATGTCTTGTTTTCAATAACCAAAGATCTGAGCAGACTCCTTTTGCACGAGTACATCAGCAACGTGATTGTGAGACGCCAAATGTTCCTGGGAAACATCAGGACATGAAGACCTGCAAAATTTAAATTGACCCCTGCTGCTCTTTGTCTCATTCTGGGCAGCTTTTGGTTCCAAAAATTATACTACCGGTTATTTATAAAACTAGATTTTACTGTTTTGAAACACGTAGTTTTGTTGGTTTCTTCTTCTATAAAGTCCCTGACTCAAGCTTAAGTAAGGCTTTTAGATTTTTTAGGAAAAAGTATTTTTCTCAGTATAAACTCCTCGACCATAATCACGTATATATATACACATAACTTAATCAATGCAGCCGCAGCATCACTGTTTAGACGTGCAATGTGATTATAATTGGATTTTAACCACAGAGATTTGATTCAATCATCGTACGTTATTATATAGGTTACATAAACTTCCCATGATCTACATTTCCCTATTTGGACTCTCTCTGTAATCTTCTGTCTCTGCCTGCAGCCTTTTTGTTCTGCTTTAAACACGAGGACAGAACAGTTTGTTCTTTTCCAAACTGCCTGCAAGACCGGCCAGGCTGAGGGAGGGAGCAAGGAGACACAGGAAATAGCAGATTTCCAGCCATTTCAGATGATCTATAGCTCCCAAACAGGGAGGGGGAGGAGATGGTACACTGCAAGTCACAAATAAACACACACACACACACACACACACACACACACACACACACACACACACACACACACACACACACACACACACACACACACACACACACACACACACACACACACACACACACACACACACACACACACACACACACACACACCACACACGCACACGCACACAGAGCCCTGGCACATCAGAGCACACACTCCTCATATGTGGGTGACGTTTTGAATGACATACCGGCATATGCTTGTTGTGTGTGTGTGTGTGTGTGTGTGTGTGTGTGTGTGTGTGTGTGTATATACCAAGGCCTGGTGATAGTTGTGACTGGCAGTGTCAGTCGGGCTCTGCCTTTGGCTTTGTTACAGATGTGAGGAGGAGGAGGAGGAGAGGAAGAGGAGGAGAAGAAGGTGAGGAGGAAGGGAAGGAGGGAGGAGAAGGAGGAGGAGGAGGTGAGGAGGGAGGAGAAGGAGGAGGAGGTGAGGAGGAAGGGAAGGAGGAGGAGGAAAGGAGGAGAGGAAGGAGGAGGTGGAGGTGGAGGAGGAGGAGAAGGAGGAGATGGATGAGGAGGAGGGGTAAGAGGAGGAGGAGGTGAGGAGGATGAGGAGGAGGAGGGAGAGCAAAAAGAAGATGGTGGAAAAGAGAAGGAAAAGAGGAGAAGAAGCGACAAGAGCACAAGTGCCAAGAGGGCACGAGTGACATTTTGACCCAATCGATTTTTTCCATGTACTTTTGAAAAGCTCTGGTGTTTTTCTATTAATGGAAAAAAAACCTCCTTTGGGATGAAAACTGAATTGATATGAAGAGAAAACAGAGAACTTAAGGGGAAATCTGGAGGAGAAAGCTCACATGTGCATTTACTAATCGGAATCAGGGGAAAAAAGAACGAAATGAATCCTGCAGAGAGGGGAAAAGGAAAACAAGGAAATAACACAGAACTAATTTGAGGTTGTAGGAGGAGAAGAGGAAGAGGCCAAAGGGAAACATAATGAGTACATGAGAGAACGATCATATAGGACAAATGTCAGCTCCATGTGTTGGCAGTGCGAGCGAGCAGCAGGATCTCTGAGCCAGGCTTCTGTCGCTGTGTTTGGAAGCTGAGCCCAAAATCAATACTGCTGCAGCTCTCTGCCTCACCCTCCCAAGACGGGGCCTGCAATACTTCCACCAACGAAAAACCCCAGGAAAGGGAAGGAGGTTTTTCTAGTGCGGCTGAGGCAGGATAAATATTTGCAGGATTTTTTCCCGACATAACATCTGCCATTTGGTTTCATCAAAATGTGTAAATCAGGACAGAATGAAAGGGGTCTCTGAACAGGCGTTTGGATTGTTTCTCGATGGTCCCTACATGACAACAGCACAGCGAGGTGACATTTGACACTGAAAACATTGACGACATCGGGAGGCAACACACCGGTGTCGGAGATGAAGCCACAGCTGAGCCCACAGCTCCTGTGTTTACTGTTCACATCCTGACCGAGACTCAAAAGAGTTCAAATATAGTTAAATAAGAATACGGCTGAAAATGGACAAGGCCTCATTATTATACTTCTTTATGATCAATTCATTAGATTTGTTAATTATTGATTATTTAGTGTCTCAGTGTCTGAGCAATGGAGCTACAGTTATTCACTTTATACTCATCAGACACTGTTTCAGAGTTTTAAAGCAGAAACAAACATGTAGTTGTCAATGCTAATTAACAAATTAACCAACCATTCTAAGAAATGCAATATCATATTAACCGATTGTTAAAGCAGCTTAAAACGATTATCAACCACTAGGTGGCAGCAGAGCAGGCTGAAAGTAGATCATTGACATATTATTACCTTGAAACTGGTTTTAGTCAACTTGTCAGAAAGCAGTAACGTTTTTGCATTCAATTACAGAAATATCATCGGCTACCTGACAAATGTACGTCTACTATTTAATCTCTTTCAGCTCAGTTTAGAGTTTCCTACTCCTTTTGTAAAATATCTTCTAAGCTGCTATGTGCGTCTCTATGTTAACATCCTAGCTGAAAATTTGAGTCAATTAGCAGAATGTTGTTGTAAAGGTTGCAGAGGGACATTTATTTGAGCTTTTTGTTTTTTTTGGGGTTTCTTGATTGATTCAAACCTGAAGAGAAAAGTGAGACTGAAAGACAAAAAAACAAGGTTGTGAACTCTTAAACCAAAACACTGAGCTTAAAGGTGCTAAAGTGCTCACAGAGCTGTCAGGATACTCAGCGTCAGGTGACAGTTTTTATGGGTTTGTCTCTACAAGTTAGCCTTTTCTCACTGGCTCATCATCAATCGACTTTTGATTCAAAGAACTATGGATAAGAGGAGCTTTAATATTATCTGATTCATAAATGCATTCATTATATTTATGCTTTTATATCAATTCATCAAATTGAATATGTAGCTGAAGTGTTTTAATTGGGTCTACTGAGCATTAAGTCATTCCTTTAGGACTTGATTCAAAACATAATATTATTATCTTTTACATTTAAGTCTTTGTCAGGCGTATGATTGCGTATGAATGCACTACTTTAACGACACAGTCTCCACATCTGGCTGTGTGTGTTCTTCCCACCAGGTTGAAACTCTGGATGATTTCAACACAGATGTTGAAACAGGACTCTTTGGTGTCCTGGCATCCAAAGGCGGCTTAAGAGGTCCAGACTCCCAGAGGAAAAAAACACTGACATCATTAAAGTGTGTGTGATCCGATCTCAGACATCTGTGCCCTTCATTCAGACATACTGTCAGATTTTCCCAGTTCAAATGGACGCTGGCAGGTAGGATATGCTACAAGCTCCCAGCTGTGATGCAGAGCGGCAAGGCAACACGCCGGCTAGGAGGGCGAAAACATGTGAAGAGGACTCTCTTCATAAATATATAAATACCATTCACCGTTCTGTAGACTCCAGATTTGTATGTTGCCGTTACTCCCACCCAATCTTTTTCAATATATCTCTCTCTCTCCTCTCTGTTTGTTTTTCTTGCTTCTTTCAGCTCAGGGGATTTGGAGCTGTCACTCAGACGAGGCACGGCGTCCGACAAGAAAGCAGACGGCGCAGAAGGCTTTTCGTTTATTGATGACAGACGCCGAGATGTTTTTTTTTTTTTTTCCTCTTTGGAGGTGACAAATAGAAAGAGCAATGTATACAAGGCGGCGATGAATCATGTAGCATCAGCTTCTGTGCAGTCACTCAGCCGCCTGTACTCACCGCCAAGTGACTGACAGCTACCATCTTCCTTTTCTTTAAAACACATAGAGAAATGTATCAAACACAGCGCAGCAGGACGCCGGGAGAAGCCCCTTTCAAAATGACTCGTTGGCTTTTTTTTTTGCTGCTTCTTGTGAAGAGACTTTAAAATTCAGAGTTCATTCACACTTGAGGTGTAAGAGGTGGAGGTTTTGTTTCAAAGCTGCCACTTTAGAGCTGCTTCCTCTCTCTGCATCTCAACACCTCCAATCAGGTACTCACCAGTCATACTCTTCACCGAACATTGGCTGTTCTTCCTCTTCCTTTTCGGGCCATTGAGCCACCTGAGAGAGAGAGAGAGAAACAGAAAGAGAGGAGAAAAATCAGTAAAGGAACAAGGGAATATTCAACACGTCTGTATATACAGTAGAGCTTAATACAGATATTTAAAAAAAGCAAAATTGAAAGGCAGACAAAACACAGTGTAATCCGAACTGGATCTGCCACATCACATCTGGAATTTGTCCTGTAGTATCATCAAACCTCAGCCAGGTGTAAAAGACAAAGAGAAGGATTTACTCAGGGTGTTTAGAGGTATAATTCCAGCAAAGCTTCCCTTGGAGGAGATGAGCCAAAAGTGATCAGACATCAGTCATCCAAACAAGCACCAGGTCCTGCATCTTCCTTTTTTTCCAGTTTTTGAAGCCCAGCACATTTTTGACTGATGGCTGTTAGCCTCTTAGTTTGCCCGAGATTTCTGATTCTGTAACTTTGCTAAATGTTGCTTTTTTCAGAAAAAGAACAAGATATCACTGTTCAGCTGAAAAATATCATGATTCATCGCCCGGGCCTACAACTGACTCATCAAATGATAGTTAAAGCCGCATGCATTGATAGATTTCCTTTCCACAGGATAGTACTAATTATAGGTGTAAATGAGCATATCACAGAGCAACATTAGCGTTCATTTTGTTGCATGTTTTCAGCACCACATGACATCTTAAAGTCTAATGTTTACTCTCCTTGTAGCTCTGACTTTGGTCTCCACCGGCCCTCAAAGAAAAAATCTGCAAATTTGAGCCGCTAAATGCTCCTCCGTTTATTCACTTTGTTTGTTAGCAGATGAATATGTCTGTCTGCCAGTTGGCTACACAGTTGTTTTAATCAGAGCCCGCTGGAAACAACTACTGATGACAGCAGCGAGGCTTAATCAAAGCAGCTCAGTAACAGGCTGTGAAACCACAACAAGATGCAGGGAACATTTGCGGGCGACAAATGGTCGTATTTGTCAGAAAAACAGCTCCGGTCTTGAGTGTGCTCCCAAACTTAATCCAAACTGCAAGGAGGGGGGAAGAAAAACAACGTTTGTGGTGAGCACAATTAATCCCCCAAAATGAGTCCAATTATCATGGTTTACATCGGAAAGACTAACAATAACAGACGAGTCCAGAAAAAAAAAAAGCAGCAAGTGGAACATTCATGGAGCTAACACAGAGCAACACACACTCTCCACTACAGCACACCTGCAAGCGCAGCGACACATTTGAACGGCATGTGAAGGGACTTAAGTAGATGGAATAAAGAGAAAAAACTAATTTCTGAAAAGAGAGTAGTACATGAGCGAGTCAGTGAGTGCTCGCTGTCAGAGCTGGATGTGTTTAGAATCCCCAGCGTCGGGCTCTCTGCACTCAGCTCCGCCGCAGCTCTCCGCCCACACCGGCCACCTTTCATAGCGGCTCCAGGAGAGGGAGCAGGACTCCATTAGCGGCGCGGAGTGAAACAGGGTCCCACTCTGTTTTAAGATGCAACACACGGGACTGTAGGTCACATTAGCTCTGAGGGGAAGTGCTATGGTATCATGTTCTCTATTATCAGGAGGAATGATCTCTCCTTTTGCTCGTCTTTACGACGCTCTATCTTTTTTTCTTTTTGGTTTCTGAATCAAAGGTCAGAGGGATGAAGACACTATATTATGTACAGACTATAAAAACCCTCAGAGGACAACTTGTAGTCTGTGCTGTCGGGCTATTAATTAATAATGAAAATGAAAAAAGTGTGTCCTAACTGTACGATCTATAAAAGCATAACTGTACTGATAACACACTTTCTTTATTATAAATATAACGTTGTCTGACTTTCTGAATCAATCCCAAACTCAGGTGGTCAAAATAACCGATATTGTTTTGATACCACATGTTTTAAAATGAAAAAAGCTAAAAAAAGCTAAAAAAACAACAACAACAAACATTTTTATCGTAAGACAGGAGAGGAATAAATCCATCACAAGCTGCAGTAAGAGGGGATCAAAATGAAACTACAAATGAATTGAAGTTATTTGTTGTTTTAGAAAGAGAAGAAGAAAAATAGCCGATCAGTGGTGGTATTTTGTTTTTAGTTTTTTAAATATTTATTTTTGGATTTTTTATGCCTTTATTGGAGAGACAACACAGTGGATAGAGTTTATTAAATCCAAAGCCTCACAAACTGATGGAGTCCATCTTTACAAGTTCCTGAATTTCACAGACGTCTGTTTTAAAATAGGATACCGATGTTGGGACCACAGAAACTGAGAAAAACATTTATCTTCATTATTGCGTCATTGTTTGAATAATCTGCAGAGTCATCAAAAAAAACAAAACAGTGATGTCTAAAAAGTCAGAGAGCGCTGCTTCACACAAGGGACCAAGAGGCTGAAAGAGATTGAGATCCGTCCCTCCAGTAGAGATTGTGAACGGCCCAACTCGGACATTTTTAGAACCAAACCTCACAGAAGACTGTTATCGTTGCTTATTTATTTCATTTCAGTCCATCTAGACCCCACTTCACATCACAGACATTATATATCTACTTAAGCAACATAGCAGGCAGGGACAGGACAGGAACAGTGAGAGAGAGAGAGAGAGAGGAGAGAGAGAGAGAGAGAGAGAGAGAGAGAGAGAGAGAGTGGAGAAAGACATGCAGGAAGAAGCCACAGGTTGGACTTGAACCTGGGCCGTCCGCTTGGAAGACCAAAGCCTCCACACATGGGGCGCGTGCACCAACTACTGTGCCACCAGCGCCCTATCAGTGGGGGTCTTGATTTAAAATACTGAATCCGCCCAGTCTGACACCGAGACGAGAACCAGTAAAAATGCTTAAGATTCCAAGACTGAGACCTCCAAAAAGTGGTCTCGAGACCGGTCTTGAGACCAGGAGTGATTTCGAGTGACACAACACTACTCACTGATATCTCTACTTGTTTACTGTAGTTTTCACTTTGGGATTTGAAGTCCAGAGCTGACATGCAGGGTCGGACTCACATCTGTAAAGCTTATTGTTTTGATTCCTGACATTAAAAATAGATACTCAGCAGAGTGTTTCTGTGTGTTTATTGTTTTCATACATCAGAACACCTTTCAGTCTGTTATTAGCTCTCATGCAAAGACACTAGCTGACAAAGTGCTGAACGAGAATCTGGACTCTGAAGGCATGAAAACAATTCTGTAGAGACACATTCTGAAGACTGTTCTCTCTTCTCATACACAACGTTTCTTATTCTGTGTCACTGCTCCTAAGTGACAGGAAACATTCCCCCCGCTTCTCTTAAAAAGGAAGCACGATTTATATTCTACACAAGCAAACGATGAGTGCCCTTTAAAGCTCGATCACATAATTGCCTATTAAGTGAGTTTGAGAGTTTCTGTAATTGAGCCTAAATGGCAAAACTTAAACTGACCTTCAGGGTTTACGTCAGCACCGTCTCGTTTCTCGGCTACAGTTTGCCCTTTTCTGAGTACATCAAACGGCTATCAGGGCAACAAATGAGGCTCTTAATAGCCTACTGACCTGAAGTTTGATTTATGATAATTGTTGTGACTGCAGCATCTAATTGGGAAAACTCATCATCCAACTATGAGGACACAATGTTCCTGTCATGATGAGGGGAAAACAGGAAGAGTCTAGAGGTTTACCTGGGAAGAGGCCACACCTCCTACATACATCCCAAAGGTTGCAGAGTTTGTATGACTCAATGTAAAGTAGGGAGGGGGGGAACTCTTTAAACAAATGATTCAGTGACTCTGCAGGCAAACTTTGGTGTCATTACTCTCTGACAGAAAAACTATTAAAGCTGTGACAGAAGCAGAAACACAAGGTGGGGTTTTCACTTGCTGGCCACTCAGAGGTAAGTCTCTCTCTCTCTTTTTGTCGTTTGGCCTCCACGTAAATCCGTACAGCTGCTGCAGGCGACAACCATCAAACTGTCAGCGGTGTGACAGCTCACTCTTCCTGCGTGACGGCATCTTAAACACAGTCAAACTGGATGCAAACAGATGTTCACCTCTCTGTAAAACAACTACACCTCCCTGAGATCCTGCATCCCAAAAACAAGTCCTGCATCCATCCATCCTGACACATATGAGCCTTGCTTTTCCCCCTCGGCCGAATCCTGCAGCCGCCTGTTTTCAAACCCACACTTGGTCTTTTAATGGCACAACACCAGGAGAAGTAGCACAGCACTGACACACGGTAATGAAATGATAATAAAGCTCCAGCTCGAAAAACCCTCCATTAAGATCTCATCAATCCCGAAATAGCAGCAATGAAAATATTAGCGCCCTTGCAGCTAAAAAAAGAGCTTAGCGCGTGCACTCGGCGGAGCCTCAGAAGTGCTTTTCACTGCTCTCACAGCTCGGAGAGGAACGAGTGAGAGAGAGAGAGAGAGAGAGAAACGGTGTCAAGTGGCTGTAAGAAGTATATGACAAAACAAAAACACAATATGTTCACACAGGGCTCGCTGTGAGAGTTTAGATGAACTGCAGGGGGCGGCATCTCAAAACAAGCACTTACATCTTGTAACTTTTGAAGCAACTGCTCCAAAACAAACAGCCAAACAAACAAACAAACAAACAAAAATGGAAATTGGATTTCCAAAATAAAGGACCTGTCAGCCTGACAGGATTTCAAATTGTGCCACACACTTTGTACAATAACAAGTGTGCCTGTTCAGGGATGAAAACATGCTGCCTGATTGAATATTTTTTGATGGAATGTGAGGTTTTTTTTGCAGGTCGGGGCACGATGCCGTGTGCCGGCGCAGGAACACCACAGAGCCATTTTCAATTTCCAACTCTTAAGCTGTGATGGGATTGCAACACATCTTAAAATATGCAAAGTCCCCTCATGATGTGCCTCTCGGCAACCTGAGCCAACCCAACACAGACACGCACATACTGTACTCTCCCTACAGCACACACACACACACACACACACACACACACACACACACACACACACTGTATAGAACTTGACGTTTAAGAGCCACCACTTGATTGATTCCTATCCCATACCCTGAAAGCTGTGTGGA